TAAAAGAAAATTAAAACAATATATATAAGTATGATTAGAAATTAATTAATTAATTTTAATTAAAGTTAAATTAATCATTTAATTAAATTAATAATCATAGTTAATTAACTTAAATCATTAAGCTTCTTTTAATTTTGGTCAAAGTCAAAAGTATCTTGCTTTATTTCAAACTTCACCCAAAGCTTGTATGATTAGGCAATTCAATCCTGAGGTTTCAAACCCTTTTAAATCAATCTTCCATGTTTTTGAACTTAATCAAATCAGTCCTTTTAATTTTTTTTTGTGTTTATGGTGCATGCATATCTTCGATTTCCTCCATTTTAGTCCAAAAATTTTAAAAAAATATTTCAATTTGGTTTATCCTTATTTAAGTTTGCCTATTAAGACTGAAATATAAAGATAATGACTAAGTTGAATCAAAACCCCAATTTTAAAGTATGCAACTGTGTTTAAGTGGAGGATTGTGAGGTGCGCCTATGCACTTCCTCACTCTTAATCGAACCCCAAAACCTTGATCTATACACATACTCGTTTTAAGGTGACTTGTCCCACTTTCTAATTTGGATGAGTGACGACTCCTTTTCTTATATATTTCGCACTTGATTGATTTTCATTATTTTGAAATCTTTTAAGTTTGAATGATTGTCAATAGATTGGCGACTCCACTGGGGATTGAACCCAAAATCTCTAGTTTCCATATTCTAGGTTCATGAGGGTTGAACTAATACTTTAACTTTGGGGATTTTTCAGCTTTTGATTTTCTTTGATTGTTGACTCTTTGTGGGTCTTTGCCATTTATTGTATGTGCTTGTTGCGTGTTGCTTGTTGCTTGTTTGTTCATTGTTTTAGTGGTTGCTTTGATTGTTTTTGCCTTTGAGTAGTTACCTTGCTACATCTTGACATGCATCATGCTAATATGTACGTGCATCATATCATCTCACATGCTCATTCATCATTGAGGTTAATTGCTTATTCATCATGCATCATGCCTACATGCCTGTTTGCTTGTGTGTGAATATACTCACCTTTTACACTTGGCTATGGAGTACTTAGTGAGTCTCTTCCTTTTTATGCGATTATTTATATCTTGTTGCATGTTGAGTGTTGGTTGCTCTATATACTAACCTTTTGCATTTGGCATGGGAGTACTAGGTGAGTCCCTTCTTGCTGTGTAAGTAGGTTTGTTTGTGAGTGATATATTTGTTGAGTGCTTTACATACTTTATTTGATTGCCATGGGATATATGTTGCTATTTTTGTGGCTGCCATTATGCAGGTTATTGGAGTGTCATGCCCTTTTGCACACACTCACTCTCATTTTGCATTAGGTCCCTGTCAGAGGTGAACCCGACCTTAGTTTGGAATCCTTATTAATCTGGCTTGGAAGAGCAATTCTTCCTGCTTAAAGCAGTAAGAGTTAGGTTGTTTCCATCGGTTAATACAACACTTGATGATGTAATATTGTCTTGTGTATTAACTTTTGGAAATATCTCCCGTTGATTCTGAAAGGATAAATGGTTAAGAAGGCCTAATGTCCTTTAGGAAAACACCCGAGATTTCAAACCCTTTTAAATCAATCCTCCATGTTTTTGAACTTAATCAAATTAGTCCTTTTAGTTTTTGTTTGTGTTCATGGTGCATGCATGTCTTTGATTTCCTCCATTTTAGTCCAAAAATTTTTTTTAAATATTTTAATTTGGTTTATCCTTCTTTAAGTTTGCCTATTAAGACTTAAATATAAAGATAATGAATAAGTTGAATCAAAACCCAAATTTTAAAGTATGCAACCGTGTTTAAGTGAAGGATTGTGAGGTGCGCATATGCCCTTCTTCACTCCTAATCGAACCCTCGAACACCGATATACGCGCAGACTCGTTTTAAGGTGACTTGTCCTACGTTATAATTTATATGAGTGGCGACTCCTTTTATTATATTGTCACGCCCCAGAACCCAAATCCGAGGACGTGACAGACGCCGTGCACTCATGAGAGGGTCCCACAAATGCAGAAGGCTCGGAACTTATCCAATTCACATATGACAATCCAATAACTTAAATCAAACCCCTCAATTTATTTCTATAACCAAAATGACTTAAATCCAAGTAATTGATCTAATGATCGAAATCTGTTTTGATCTCATAAATTCAAGGTAAAATCTATCTTACAAAGCATGATTTATTTCTAAAATCTATGTCAATCTCAAAATGGTTAGCCTTCTAACTCGTCACTTCCTGTGGTTTCCCCGTCCTCGGTTTCGCTTCCTGAAATGGTGGACAAGGAAAAACTATGAGATAAACTCAGTAAGTAAAATATGGAGTGCCCTTATTAAACTTATAGCATGCCAACAAGTGCAATCACGAAAAACGAATACAGTACGAGAACGAAATAGATGTCTCATCTATAGGTCATGGCTAGTGTTATAAACCTCCCACTGGCAGGCTACAGTATTTGCTGGTGTATAACCTCCACTAGCAGGGTCACTCGAACGAACCGGTTCTATCAATAACATGTTGACATGTGCTAGCGTTTATAACCTCCCCCACTAGTAGGGTCACTAATAACATGACCACATCAGAGACAAAATAGGCAGAAGTTAACAGAAAAATCATAATGCACCAATCACTTTCAGATCATCAGGACAATCAATTAAATTTAAGGTAGACATGCTCAATTTAATGAAAAGCATAATAATTTCATTTCAAATTAGTCATGCTCATATTTGTGTAAAACGGGTTTAGTCTCGCCACCATTTCAAAAACAAATTAAAATATGCTTTAAAATCAAAGGGCGTTACCATAATTTACTTACCTCACTCGCATAAAACCGAAAACTCGATCTCAGTGCTAAACTGACAGAACGATCAGGAATCTAATCAAAATATCCAAGAATTAATTACTATACCACGGATTCAAAAGTAAAGTCACCATGACTACCCCTAATCTCAATGCTATTTCTATCAATCTCCACATAACCAGACATCTCCAAACTAAACATTTAATCCCTGTTAATTGTTGGCCATCAGTGCATGAACAGTGCCTATGAACAGTACCATAAACAGTAACTGCAACTTCCAAAATTGGCAAAACCATAGCTAATCTCACGGGATTTTCTTTCCAAAATCACAGCAGTCAATTAACACTCAATCATATAAATTCCACTTGAATTAATGCTTAAATTTTGTCCTAAAGCTACCGGAATTCATCCCCCTAATTTAGCAAACATTCGGACAGTGTAGGGGCAACAATTAAATGGACAAAATTCAGCAATTAAAGGATAATTTTAGGCTCAAAGGGCTTGTCACATACCAAAAATCCAGCAAGCAAAACCGGAGCTGCAGTTTGGGGAGGAGCCGGCGGGAATTGGGGAGAAAAATCAAGAACTCTACTGGAAATTGGGAAACCAAGAGAAATTAAGGTAAACCCAATCCAATTCAAATAAGAAAAGAGGGATTTCAAGCTGCTTCTTACCAAAAAAAACTGGAAATTTCGCCACCCACACCAAGAGCAGCAGACGGTGAAGACAAAGCAGAGCAGATCTGGGATTCTGAAGAGGGGTGGGGGAAATTTCTGGGTTCTAAATCTGTTCTAGAACAAGAAAAGAAGGGAAAAATACCAAGCTTTTACCCATTTTCCTTCAAGGGAGGGCTGCCGGCAGCATGGTTCTTGTTCGGCTGCAGGGGGAAGAAAAGAAGAGCAGATGCGCGGGTGAGGAAGAAGAAAGAAGAAAAAAATGCCAGCCGATCCTTATCCAGAATTTTTCCTCTTTTAAGTCCCTGAACTTTTAAAAAATTTTCTATTAAGTTCATTAATAATACTTCCTCACAAGTAGGTCCCTACGCACACTTTAATGTTCTAGAAAATTTTGGGATATTACATATATATTGCACACTTGATTGATTTTCATTATTTTGAAATCCTCTAAGTTTGAGTGGTCGTCAACAGCTTTGGGTGCCATTGGAGAAGAAAGAGGAATTCATATATTTTGATCTACTAAAATGGGATGGCACAAGTTAATTATTAAATTGGATTTGCTTTTTGTTTTTGTTTTTGTTTTTTTTTGTACCAACCCATAATTTCATCTGTGCTACAATTTAGTCTTTTGTATTTTAATTTTTTTATTTACTTAATTCATTTTACATAACTAGAATGTATTATGGTGATAAGCGAAGGTGAAACAAGAAGGCGCTACCCAAAGAAAAATCTTGATTCCGCCACTGAGAGAACTGCAATATACTTCACACCAAAGATGCACTTTGTTGGGTTTAATTGCATTCGATTTTTCCACAAATTACTAAATGTCTCATCCAGTTCAGCTAAATAGTCCTTAGCTTTCTGACTCTTCACCATGAAGTCATCAACATAAACTTCCAAGTTTTTGCCAATCTGAGCTTGGAACATGATGGTTACCATTTTCTGATAAGTGGCACTCTCATTCTTTAAGCTAAAGGGCATCATGACGTAGCAATATATTTCATCTCCTACATAAAATGAGGACTTCTCCTTATCCCCGGGAGCCATCGGGACTTGGTGATAACCAGAATATGCATCCAAGAGACTCAACCTCTCATTTCCAAAAGTTGCCTTAACTAGTTTGTCAATATTTGGCATCGGGTAGTAGTCTTTAGGACAAGCCTAGTTGAGATTCATATAATTGATGCACATTTTCCATTTGCCATTAGCTTTCTTAACCAGCACTAGGTTGGCTACCCATTCACAGTAATCAACTCTTTTGATGAAGTTGGCTTGTAGAATTTTCTTTACCTCTTCCTTAATTACTTTGAGCCTCTCTCCCCCGAAGAGGTGTCGCTTCTGTGCTACTAGTTTCTTCAATGGATTGGTACTAAGTTTATGTTGAGATACCGAGGTTGGTATTCTTGGCATGTCTGCTGAGGTCCAAGCAAAAACATCCTTGTTAGCTTGGAGGAAAGCTATTAACTCTGCTCTTTCTTCTGTGTTCAAATGAGTTCCGATTTGGGTCTTTTTGGTCGAAGCTTGTCATCAATCTACACTTCTTCGACTTCCTCTATTGGAGGAGCTCAAGTTTAGTCTTCAGCTCGATTATTAAGGATCTTAACTCCCATTACCTACTAGTTGCCATGAACTTCTTGTGGGGCATTCTTCGACGTCTGATCTTCTTGTTTTAGAGGCCTTCTAACCAAGGTAATATAACAATGCCTAGCTATTCCCTGATTGCCTTTTAGTGTTGCTATCCCCATGGGGGTAGGGAACTTCATGCAGAGATGAGATTGAAAGACCATTACTTGGATCTCCGTTAATGTAGGTTGGCCAATAACAACATTGAAAGATGAAGCCATTTTGACAAGCAGAAACCGAACTGAGAGAGTAACATAAGGTTGGCCACTTCCAAATGCAACATTGAGGGTAAGGACCCCTGCAACTTGAACAGGCTGGCTGTTGAAGCCATATATAGGACCATCATACCTTTGTAGCAAAGTTGGATCCAACCCTAAACTCTCAAAACAATGATAATACATGATGTCTGGTGCACTGCCTGTGTTAACAAGGACACGCTGTACCTCACAGTTGTTAATCATAATAGAAGTGACCAATGGGTCATTATGAGGTGATATCACCCTATCAAAGTCAATAGGTGTAAAAGTGATTGGTTGGTTCTTCCATTCTGTATCATCAAACTTTCGTTTCCAAGCCCTATTTTGGTGTTTCACCTCCCCGACATATAGTTTCCATTGTTTAGAGCCTAAACCTCCTACTTCTAGGCCATCTGTGATCATGTGAATGATTCTGGCTGATGGTGGGAAGGGTGGTGAAGCTTGTTGGTATCCCACTCCTTGTTTGTTACTTGCATTATGAGGCCCTTACGATTGTAAACCCTGTTCCTTGACAAAGTTAGGCTGATCTGCTCTCTGGATATACTCATTTAACATCCCTTTCTGAGTTAAGCCTTCTAACTCAAACTTCAGTTGATTACACTCCTCCATGGTATGACCATGATCTTGATGAAAATCATAGTATTTGGTGTGGTCTCGGGTAGTGGGAAAACTTCTCGTTGGCGCTAGTCGCCTCACGCCATCTTATTCTTAATCTGCATAAATATCTACAATCTCGGCATATTAAAAGGAGTTCATGTAACTGGTGCTTTACTGGGAGTTTGTTGAGGAGGTGTTGAATTCGGTCTTCTGAAACTTGGTGTGGAGGTCAACATCGGACCTCAGTTTGTACTGTCTTCATCCCTTTCCTATTCTGGCCCTCCTTTCTCCAAACCAGGTTTTGATTCTTAACAGGAGTTGGTTTGTGATAAAGCATATTTCTCAGTAGTTATAAACCTCAAAGATCTGTCATTAACTTCATTGAAAGTAGTAGGAGGATGCTTACTTAGACTATCCCTCAATCTTTCGTGTTTGAGGCCCTAAATTATGGCTGCAATTCCTATAACTTAATCAAATGAGCTAACCTCTAGAACTGCATCATTGAATCTGCTCATGTAATTTTTCAAGGATTTTCCTTCCCTCTGTATGATTCGCATAAGTTTAGGTGTAGTTTTCTTGATTAA